TTGCCTGCAAACATCAGAGAAGATTGTGTTATTCATTAATCTCTTGTGAATGCGACTAGGGAAAAGAAAATGAAAAAGGGTCGAAATTTATACTGTATAACAACAGTCCTCTTCAGCCTTCCATTGAGTCCAGTGACATTCACATTCACACGACCCGATAAAGGAACTTCTGAGTTGTTTCCACCTAGAATCTCGAGTCTCATTGGCCTTCCATCCAATAAAACATTGTTGTATTTCTTCAGAGCTTGATATGCATCACTTCTTCTTGGATACACCACTTCAGCTGTGCCCTATAATTCCATGAAATCACAGTTAGAAAAAGAACATATAGATGAAGCTTATTACAATCATGAAGAGAACAGGACTAATCAGAGAGGTGAGGGCTTACAGTTGGACGTCCATTTTTGTCAAAATGAATAGCGTATCGCTTTAGCTCTCCAACCTCCGAGAAGAGTTCCTAAGATCCCATATAGATAGATTTAGGTTCTGTTCTAAACACCAAAAGCCTAGAATGTATAATTCAGACTATATATACCCTTATATCTTCATTTGTCACACCCTGGTCCAGATTTGTGATATGGAGTTTAGTTCCAACATCAACTCCTGATACTCCAGCAGCTCTTAGGCCATCATCCAACAAATCACTCTGCCATGGCAAGCTTCTGATCCTACGAACAGGCTATTTAAAAGAGCAGATAACATCAGTACAACATGTGTTTAACTTCAAAACAATGTCAGTGAAAAATAATTCCAAGAAGAGAAACCACCCATTTCTGAAAGAACGAAAACCAGTCAAAGTAAAGAGCTCCACTAAGTAGTGAATAGCCACCCGATGAGAAACCAAATGAAATGGAGGAACAGTTACTGCTCCGATTCCAAAAGAAAGTCCTCGTACCAAAGCAATGATAAAAGAAAAACCAAGACGTTCGTAGCACGCTGAAGAAATACCAGACGTAGCAAGATGTTCATCAATAACTTCATGCATGATGCAAACAGACTGTGTAGGGCTAAGCCACTACAAATCGTGTTTAACTGCCAGAAAAATTACTGAACTTTCCCCCAAACGCCACACATATTTTGAGTATTCTGAATTGTGTCGCTCATACAAGCAACATGTCTAATTTTTCATAGCAATACCACTGGACTGGATGAACAACATATGACCTTCAGCTTACTGAAGCTCCTCAGCTTAAAAAAGCACTGTGGCAAAAGCAACCAAGAACTTGTGCACATGTCTATGCATGTCTGCCAAAGTCTTTAGAATTTAACCACATAAACCATAAAGAACAGCGAAATTGCAGGGGTAAGAGGCTTTTCTAAAATGAAATCAACTCCATGAACTACAAGGAAGCACGTATCACCTCCTAGACGAGGTTCAACAATTGTCAATATATCGTCAGAGACTAGGCTTTATTATGCATGTACAAGAAAACCTGCTTCTCCCATTGGTTAGTTTTAGCATAATTCAGCATTTGCTTTGGCATTTTTTAACCTCAGGCCAAATGAATTGAAGAAACTCAATACACATAGAGCATCCCAGATTTTGAAGCTTGCCTTGTTAACGGAGAAAGATGATGGCCGATTATTCACGGCAAGAGGACCTCTTCGAGCAGGTCCAATTCCTCTTCCAACACCGAGAAAACCATTTGGTCCAT